ACACACACACACACACACACACACACACACACACACACACATCTCACATCTTCTTTATCCATTCGTTATCCATGATGGACATTTGGGCTCCTTGCATACTTTGGCTGTTGATAGTGCTGCTATAAACATTGGGGTGCATATGTCCCTTTGAAATAGCACACCTGTATCCCTTGGATAAATACCTAGTAGTGCAATTGCTGGGTCATAGGGTATATTTTTAATTTTTTGAGGAATCTCCATACTGTTTTCCATTTAACCAACTGAGCCACTCAGGCACCCACCATAATGTTTTCCAGAGTGGCGGCACCAGCTTGCATTCCCACCAGCAGTACAAAAGAGATCCTCTCTCTCCACATCCTTGCCAACATCTGTTGTTACCTGAGTTGTTAATGTTAGCCATTTTGACAGGTGTGAGGTGGTATCTCATTGTGGTATTGATTTGTATTTATTTCCCTGATGATGAGTGATGTTGAGCGTTTTTTCATGTGTCGGTTGGCCATCTGGATGTCTTCTTTGGAGAAGTGTCTATTCACATCTTTTGCCCATCTGTTCACTGGATTATTTGTTTTTTGGATGTTGAGTTTGACAAGTTCTTTATAGATTTTGGATACTAACCCTTTATCTCATATGTGATTTGCAAATATCTTCTCCCATTCTGTCGGTTGCCTTTTAGTTTTGCTGATTATTGCCCTTACTGTGCAGAAGCTTTTTGTTTTGATGAGGTAGGTCCCAATAGTTCAATTTTGCTTTTGTTTCCCTTGCCTCTGGAGACATGTTGAGTAAGAAGTTGCTGCAGCCAAGGTCAAAGAGGTTTTTGCCTGTTTTCTCCTTGAGGATTTTGATGGCTTCCTGTCTTACATTTAGGTCTTTCCTCCATTTTGAGTTTATTTTTGTGTATGGTGTAAGAAAGTGGTCCAGGTTCATTTTTCTGCATGCCGCTGTCCAGTTTTCCCAGCACCACTTGCTGAAGAGACTGTCTTTATTCCATTGGCTCTTCTTTCCTGCTTTGTCAAAGATTAGTTGGCCATACGTTTGTGAGTCCATTTCTGTTCTGTTCCATTGATCTGAGTGTGTTTTTGTGCCAGTACCATACTGTCTTGATGATTACAGCTTTGTAGTACAGCTTGAAGTCCGTATTCCCCCCTTATTCTTATAAACAGTGTTTCAGTAAATATTTTGTTTGCATACCTGATGAACTGGGGCTTTTATTTTTAGGTTAAAACATACATAGATTTCTCTAATTTTAAGATGTTTTCAGATAACTTTCCAGAATGATTATAGTAATTAACAGTCTTACCAGCAGTGTTGTGTGCGCCCATTTCTTGAATTCTCCTTACCACTACTCTTTTTACTATTTATTATTCTGATGGATTAAAAAAAATGGCATCTGGTGGCTCCAATTTTTATTTTCCAATTTTATGAAGTAGTATGTCTTTGTATGCTGTTGGTCATTTGGATTTTCCTCTCTTTCTGTAGGATCTCTTTTATGTTGGGGATATGAACTCTAAGTGCTTGAGTTAAATTTTTCTAGTGTATATTTGCCTTTCAGTTTTGTTTTGCCATTCAGAAAGCTTTCCTTTTTACACAGTTTAATAATATGCATTTATTTTATAATTCCTGATTTTTCTGTGTTGCTTAGGATGGTCTTCCTACTTATGTGTTTAAATTTAAATTCTCATAGATTTCTTTCTAAAATACATACTTTTTATATTGACATCTTTAATACATCCAGAATTCATTTTTGTGTATGATACACGTTTACTTCAGATGAATAACATTTATGATGGGTTATCTAGTTACACAGGTAGCATTCATTTTCCCCACAGAATCGAAATAGCACCTTTGTTATTAAAATATTGTTCCCATTATATTTTGATACAATTTCTAGATTGTAAAAGATGTTTTTAAAATCAACATACAAGGGGTGCCTTGGTGGCTCAGTTGGTTGAACATACAACTCTTCATTTCAGCTCAGGTCATGATCCCAGGGTTGTGGGATTGAGCCCCATGCTCAGTACTTAAGGTATTCTCTCCCTCTCCCTCTCTCCCTCCCTCTCCCCCTCCCCTTCTCCCCCTCTTTCCCTCTTTCCCTCTCTCCTATTGTCTGTCTGTCTGTCTGTCTCTCTCCCTCCCTCCCTCCCTCCCCCCTCCTCCACTTGCACTCTGTCTCTAAAATAAAAATAAAGGAAAACAAAAAAGAAAGTCAACACATGAGAGGAATTTTATAGGCTCTTTCAATGAAAATGTATTGGGCACCTACTATGTACCACACATGCATTTTGGTTAGGTAAAAATTTTGAAGAT